TTTGCAACCCTATGTGCTAGGATTTTTATATCATACTCCTATACTTGTTTTTATATTTAATGTAGACTTATGTAATCACATTCAGCAGGACCATTGATCTGACTTGTATAGCTTGCCATTATCTGAATAATAACTGAAATCAGATTTAACTTTAAGTTTGTGTTAAATATATTCTTTATTATTCTTTGCTTTATTACAGCTGTTCTGGTTAGTCAAAAGGCCTTTTAAAGAAGATATATTTTAATTATGTGTATTTGTGTTCATTCGTACATGTGTGAGTGCAGGTGTCCATGGAGAAGAGGGCATCATATCCTTTCCAAATGGATGTTCTGGTGGTTATGAACTCTGACTTGGGTGCTAGGAACCAAACTCTGATCCTGTGGAAGAGCAATACACGCTCTTGACTGCTGAGCCATTTCTCCAGTCCCAGCACCATTGCTTTCAATATGCGAAGTCTAAAAGATATTTTAAACTAATATAAATACAGCTCTTCCTTCCCAAGGTGTTAATTCACCTATTAGTTCATCTAGGCTTAAGACCAGGATTTCTGGATATTGCCAGATCCTCTTCTCATCAATTCCTGGAGTCCATGGTAGAAGGAGAGAGCCAATACAGCCTCACATATAGTGACCTTCATATGCAGATGCCATGTGTAACTTTGTACACACACCCTAGAAGGAAAACTGACATGGAAGACTTTCCTCCAAGGTCCTGTTGGTAGGTAGAGCACATCTGAACAAAGAGCATGAGACCACTCAAAAGAACATCTGACTGCTTCACACAGAAGTGGCTAAGGCTTGAGCCTGAAGTTTTCAAGACAAACCTCCCAAACTGCAAAATAAAGAGAGCAAGGGTGAGAACCAGCACAGAAACAGCAGAGTGGCAGAGCTAAGAGCTGCATGACTGGAATCCAAGAAGAAAGAAATACACCGTTTTAGTGAGAATTTTGGTTTCTTTAAAAACAACAACAACAACAACAACAAAAAACCCAACAACACAGCAATATATAAGAATATGCTTCTGTTTTAATCCCAGGTATGAGGATATGGGGCTGCTTTGCAGCAGCTGACATGCTTTGCCAGCTGCAGGTAATTTTGTGAATGTGTGATGTTTGGATTCTGGGAGCTTTTCAGAGGCTATATAAATGCTAGAGCCCCAATAGATGGGTGGCTGGTTGGTGGATGGATGCTGTTGGTTGCAGTTTGTCAAGTAGTCCATGCAAAGAAACAAGAGAAATTAGATATCCTGACATCAAAGATCACATTTGCGCCGAAGAACTTGACATTCCTAATCAGAAGGAAGTAGTCTAATGATAACAACGCCCCCTTTCCCCTCTGTCTTTTATCTCTCCTATCTAGTGTTAGGGGGTTGAAAAGGAAGAAGGAAAGGGGTGGAGAAGGGTGGAAGATAAAAAGGAACTCACAAAGTAGCAAACACCAGTTACACACAGTGATAACAAATTAATGTCAGATCCCAGAGGCTCAGAGAACACTTGGTAAGATAAATACCTGATTAAATCTAATTGCATTTTTAAACTACAAAGAAAAAAAAATCACAGCTACAGACTTCTGAAGGAAGACATTCCCTCAGACTTCTGAGGGAAAAGACAGTTTATATATGAAGGTGCTTTTGTAAGAATTCTCCTCAAAAATGTACAAACATGAAGAGTACAGTAAAAGTTAGGCATGGAAGAGAAGACTCTGTCATTTTAGGACATGAAGTAGAATAGTTCCAAAGAGAGCCTCTACTGGCCACAGTGGCTCACCTGTAATCTCCAGACTTAAGAGGTCAAGGCAGGACGTTTGCCAGAGTCTGCAGCCTGGGCTGTAGAAAGGGATTCTGTCTTAAGGAGAAGAAAGGAGAAAAGAGAAGAGAAAAAAAGGAGGGATGGAGAAGTGGGGAGAGACAAGAAGGAAAAGGTTTCAGTTCCGTTAGCTGAGTTCTGCCTTTATATCCACTTAACTCAAGGTGAGGTTCCTAGCAGAGTGTGAAGTGCCTAACATGAGGCAGTCCCATAGTGACTGATGGCCAGCCCTGAGCTGCTCTAGGATGGAGTGAGGTGGAGGATTGCTAGGAGGACAGTGCTGCTGTCAGCTGTGCAATGTACTGGACCCTGTGAAGCTGGCGTTTCTCTGGAGGGGCACCTCTGACCTGTGCTGCTTTCTATGTGTAAACAAAGGTTGGCTTTGAGTTTTTGTCTTTTCTTGTTCTGCCCTTTCCTAGCAGTTGCTTCCTCTGGGATTTTGCATGATCTAACTTTGGGTAGTTTCTGTGTGCCTCTGTTACTGTTAGTCTCCACAGATTTGCTCTGAGGACTCCGTTTATATGCATGAGGTACTGCATACGTGGCTCAGAGTGTGGTGAACATGTGTATGTTCACTCCACCCAGGTAACTCAAAATTCTTTGCATTGTTTATTTTTGGAAGAATGTAAGTCTTGTCTTACATTCTAAAAATTAAATTATTTGGAGAAGCAGTTTTTGCTATGACATGTAGCATAGAAGTGTACTTTGATTATCGTTTGCTTATTTGATATGTATTGAGTATTTGTCAGCTATGTTAGGTTCTAGGAAGGCAGAGAATTGATATAGCAGCAGAGGAAGCTGTAACTGAGGGAATGACTAAATGCTCAGAGTAGTTAACACTATGAAGAGATGACATCAGGGAAAAGGTGTGGAAGCAAGGAGGGGTCAGCACATCTGGAACTCAGCCTGGCTATGTGTGCTGTGCTGGGGGGCAGAAGAAAGGGAGTCCTGACAGTGCAGTGCCTGAACACTCCAGCAAAGAATTGGTGGCCTTTCCCCGCATCAGCTGAGCTAGGTATTTTTTCAAGGAAGCTGTGAAAAAGGAGTGTTAAGTGAGTGTGCACTGAGTGTGATTTACATGTATAAAAGTTTTGTGTTTTATAAGGAATTATTTGTAGAGGAACATATGAGACCAGTGTGTATCAGTCCAGGAGGGAGATGGAAGGAATTTTCAAAGTTCTACATTATGTTTTGGGTATGCCTTTTAGATGCTGTTAGTGAGGACAGTGACAGATGGGGAGGCATGAGGTTTAAGTGTTACAACTCTGAGGGGAAAGGTTTCCCCAGTACAAGTGTTCCATCTCTGCCAGGAAAGGTATCCTGGCAGTTGGGAGCCAAGGAATACCACAAAGTCACATTTCACCACAAGCCTCACACAAGATTTATTGGGAAAGACACAACTGGTGGCTGCCTCTGCTTGGGTGTGAAGCAGCAAAGAACTGAGCAGGAGGCAGGCCTTATATAGGGTTTTTTGGGGGTAGGATGGGATGGAGCTTTCCAATGTGGCCTGGGATTGGTGGGATTCTCTGGCCTGATTTTGGACTTTTTTTTTTTTTTCCTTCCTCTGTAGGACAGCTTGTCCAGCGGAGTCCCAAGGGGATGGAGATGGCTGTTGCAGAGTTAGAGTAGTCTGGAGAGGTGGTGGGAGGCTTTGCCACTGAGGCCTCAAGGGGCTTGCACCAGGTCTACAATGCTACCTAAGTGTCTACAATGGCTTCTAAGTGTCCTTCGGCCAATGTGCATGTGTTTCCTGTGTTAGTAAGTTTTTTGTTGGTTTCTGATTTGGTTGAGTACTCAGAACTATAAATGCCACTTTCAACGTGCAATCTCTCCATCCAAGTCTCTGTGCTTCAGCTGTCACCTTCAGTTTCTTTGGCTGTCCTGTTTAGGAGAAGGGCCATTTTCCTTTGAGGGTTGGCACCTAGTAGAAGTAATATTTTATAATAATCAGTGCTGCTGAGGTTTGGACTCAGCCTTTACCATTGTGAGTGCAGCCTCTTGAGGTGAGATCTCTGCATGTTACCTTGTCCCAGGGAAGCTCAGGGGTCTGAGAGAAACTACTCTTTTCTACATAGGCACTGGGCACTGGATTGCAGGGGCTTCTGGTGTCCAGGGGCCTATCCTCTAACCCTCCTTTGAAGAGGCACAAGATGCCCATAACCTCCTTTTGTGTTTCCTTACATTTACTTCAGGGGCAAGAAGTCGGGCCTAGGAGATTTATTTTCTGTCTTTTAACAAGTCCACCACCTAGTAAGTGTGATTTGTTATGTTTCATGAAAATTGGCTTTTTTTGGTGACTGGATTTTACATGTAAAGCCATGTTTTAAAATTAATTTTTAACCTGTTCTTAACTTGTATGTGTGTGATATGTCGTGAGTGCATACACCCCTTGGAAGTGCATGTCTACCCTGTGTCTTCCTCTCTCTCTGTTCATTTTTTAAGACAGGGTCTCTCACTGAACATAGAGCACACCCTCTGGGTAGGTTAGTTGGCCAATGAGCTCTAAGAATCTGCCTAGGGTTACAGACATGTGCCAGGAGCCTTGTCCTCAGGCTGCATTGCTCACACTGCCTACTGAGTAGGTCCAAGCTTCCTAGAGCAGTCTTTAATTAAGCAGGTTGCTTAAAGTGATGCATGAGGGATTCATTATTACTTTACTTTTTTTTTCCCTCCCAGAGAGATGAAGAGGAACTGGGAAGGAAATTCATTAGATAGTAGTGCATGGAGGATTTTTTTTTTTTCTTTTTCACCTAAATTTGAAGCCAAGCATGCATAGATAGCATCAGGGTATCACAAGCATTTCTCAGGCACAGACTGTTGGTAAACAGGGATGTTTCTGATTTCTCATCATTATGATATGCTAAGGAACTTCACATAAAGGACATTTAAAAATAGCTCAGTCCTAAAGAGATATAAAGTATTATTAGCTGTGCTTTTTGTCCACAATTATTGTGTTTCTGAGAAGGTGAGTGACTTTTAGTAATGACATTACTCATGATAAAAGTTCAGATGTTAGAATCTGAGCTACAGCTGTATATGACACATTTAAATGACTCAGAGCTGCAGCTTCTTGAGCAGGCTATTTCCATCCTATGGTGAGTTATGAGTGTGCTGATAGAGGAGCCTGTCCTAACTGCTCCATCTGTTCCCACTCTGAAGACCTGATGATGCTCCCATTTCCTGTGCTGCTTGGCAGGCTGCTGTGAAGGGACACTGCTGTTCTCAGAGATGGCTCAGGACTCTGAAGACCTTGTCTCTGACTATCAATTTTGGCTGCAGAAGCTTTCTGTATGGGAACAGGCCTCCTCCAAAGAAACCCAGCAGGATACCTGTCTCTACCTGTCCCGGTTCCAGGAGTTCCTGAGGCGGATGTATGAAATCTTGAAGGAGATGGTAAGTATCCTGTGACATTAGGGACTCCATCAAGCAAGAATGCTACTTAGACTTTGGGACTTGTGTGATTAACTGGGATTTGTGAGTTAACTGAACTTTCTGATACATGCTGCAGGCAAGAGCTGCTTTCCTACCTTTTGGTACAGAATAACATCATTTTTCTTCTTAGCTATTTGAGATTGCCTAGCCAAGAAAGGTAATTCATCCATCCATTCTTGCAGTGTTTAGAATTGAATCTGGGGCCTTCTGCATGTTAGGCAAGCCTTCTATCACAAACTGTATGCTAAACCCAAGCAAATAATTTTTAGATTACATGCCTTTAATGCTCACTGTAGCTAGTAAGTGGGGTTTTCCCTGTGCCTTTCAAACTTTCCAGGGGTTGTTAGATTGTCTGTGCTTCCCTCAGCTTCATGTCCAAGTAGGTCCTCCTAAGAGACAGTAAGATCTCTTCATTTATGCCAGGTGCGGTTTCGCACTTCTGTAAACCCAATACTTGGGGAGGCAGAGGCAGGCGGATCTCTGTGAGTTCAAAGCCAGCCTGGTCTACAAAATGAGTTCAGGACAGCCAAGGCTATACAAGGAAACCCTGTCTTGAAAAAAACAAAACAAAAATATTTTATAAATATTATAAATATTTTAAGAGATCTTTCAAATAATAAAATTTTAAGTATCTTTACTTATATAATTTATTGCTTATATTCCCATTTATCTTCATATTGACATAAGTTGTTTATGGTGTTGACGTTTCTGGTACTTGGATGGAAGGGCATCTTGAGGCACAGAAGCCCAGGAACCACACAGCTCTGAGAAGAGGCCTCTTCAGAAATGTTGCAGCTCCCAGCGGAGGGCATCCCCAGCTGAGCTGAAAGCCTCAGGAGCCTCAGCCCCACGCCACTTCTTTTTTTTTCTCTTCTTCATTGCTTCTTTTCTTTGCTTCCCATGAGAGCTTTATTGGAGGGATGAATCCAAGAGTGGCTGCCTCTGCTCCTGGGAGTAGGCAGCAGCAAATTGGGCAGACACAGCCTTATATAGGATTTCTTACAGGGCAGCTTCTAGGGCAGAGATTTCCAGAGTAGGTATTGGTGGGATTTTAATTCCCGAGCTTGGGGAGTTCAAATATTGGTGGGCTTTCCTGTTTAGGGATTGGTGGGTTCTTCTGCTCAGGTATTGGTGGGTTTTTGTCCAGACTTTTACCTCAAATTAGTATAATTTTGGATGGGTCTTATTGAGGGGCTGGAGATCCAACCTTTGTGATTACATTGGCTGGGGATGCTGTTATGACAGAGAGGTCTGGAGGAGGGGCTGGGGTGCTGGAGCTCTTCTGGCAGGGGCCTGGTGGCCACTTTTCTGCCTTGAGGGTTTACAAAAGGAGTCCACAGTAGGTGACCTTTTTGCTATCTGTGTTGGCAAATCTCACCCAAATCCCCTAGATTGCTTATACTAGGCTTTCCCTTTATAACTCCCAGTTATAGAACCCATCCTTAGTAGGAATGTCATGTGAACTTTATAGCTTGATGACCTCTATGCTGTCTCAGTCAGAGACCACACTAGATTTTAGGCCACTAGCTATGGAGCCAACTCTTGGGATCACATGTACTCTGTAAAGGAGTTTCTAAGTAGTCACGCTTGAAGCTTTACTGTGAACCTGGAATTGGAGTGATTGATTCCTGGAAACCTAGAATGGGAATGGTTGTTGCTTGAAAATGTTTTCCCAAATTGTATTGTGTTTTAAATATGTTGACAATGAACTGCCTGGTGTCAGACTGGCTGGGTCTGATCCAGGTTGATGAATTTAATCTGAACCAAGTTTTCTTTTCTCATGTCTTCAAGGTGCACTTCCCTGCCTGGACATCTGCAGGGTCACTTTCATCAAGCTGTTTTGGCTTCCCCACACATGAGCTCAGTAGGGTCTTGCTCTTGAACTTTGTAAAATTAAAAGTATTGGTTTTTCTACATTCTCTTTAGCTCTAGAATAATGACATGGAGACCTATTACACTTATTAATAAGCTTCAGCATTGTAGCTGGGCAGATTCTCAGTTAGCTCAATCTGAATTAACCTGACTAATTCTGACATTGGCCTACTTCCTGACTATGTGCCCCCTTAACTGCCATCTTAGGCTCGTCCTGGCTGCTCCTGCTCCATTCATGTCCTCACAGTGACCTCTCTCATGGCAACTTTTTCTGGCAACTCCCTCATGGCCACCTTCTGTCTTCTCTTTCCTCTACCTGGGACTCTCTTCTTGGGATTGTTAAGTCCCACCTCATCTTTTCTGCCTAGCTCTAGGCTGTCCAACTCATTATTAACCAATCAGAGATGATAGAGAACAACTTTTTCACAACATTGAGACAGGAGATGCTTCGATAATAATGACAGTGCCCACATCTGTGCAACCAGATGTGCAACCAGATCTCTGGGCACAGAAATCAGCATTTGAATACACAGTGCACAAACCATCTCCTAACATTCCCCCTTTAGTCCACTAAAGGCTCCTTCTCTTACATCAATAAACTATGTACAGTAAGAACAGTTATGAGAACGATCAGGTCATCTTGGAGAAAGTATTCCACTATCTGTCTATCTTGGTGAGTCCAAAGAGCTGTACCTACATAATTTTTTTATCATAACTTTGATTTATCAACTTAAAAACATCTTTAGACCTTAAAACATTTTCTTAAATCCTAAACAACTTAAGCTTACTTGTGAGACTGTAACTATCTAGTCATCAGCCCCATCAAAGACCTATGAAGGATAAATATTACCTGAGTAGACAGGCAAAGCAAGCAGCTTCCAAAACTAAAGAAATTAGAGAGACAGCTGGCTTTCTGGACAGTCACCCAAGGTTTCTCTGTACAGTTGGGGCAATATCTTCGGCCTTTTGGCCCAGTGTATGACAGCCTCTTCTGTGAAGCAAGAATTAGGAAAGATTGCTTACTTCATCTTGGTAAAGCTGGGCAGTTAACTTCCCTGCATCCAGTTTGTTCATTTTGGATAACATGCTGTCAGTGGTTGAGGCAAGGGCAGCTTCTTGCCCAGTGGCTAGCTCCCCACATTTGAAGCAAACTCCATAAGGAGGGTCATTGATGTCCTTCATCTTCTTTGAAGTAGAATGAGTGTAGTACCAGGAGCTGACATATCTCATTATCAAAAAAGCCTTTTATTAATAAAACATCTTTAAATGCCATATTTTGTTGATCTCTGAGGTTTTTGAAGACCAACTTTCTATCTGTAATTTATTTGAGTAGGCAAACATTGCCTGTTTCTAGATAGTTACCATCTTTAACTTTGAAAACATCTACAGGGGGCTAAATAAAGCTTATTTCTGTAATTAACTAACCTAGTACCTAACATGAACATAAGTTTGATTGACTACTAATTTGCATTTCTTAATTATCATAAATAGTTTGTAATAGCAGTTTTCAAGGAGTAGAACTTGACACTACATTTTAAATGAGTTGCATAGGTACACTATCTTATATAAGAGTTGAAACATATACAGTATGTTGTAACAAAAATAACCTTAAATTTGTATTAATATTCAAAGATCCCCTACCAATGTAAAATTGTCACTGATAGAATGCTTTTTAGTTTAAAAGTAGATTCAGTAATATATCCTTTTATTCTACCATTCCTTTATTCCCCCTTTTTTATTTTCATTCCTTTTCCCGCTTTTTCTGCTTAACACTAGATAGAGAGAGAAGGCTAGAGGAAAGAAAAAGATAGAGAAAAAAGAGATCCCTGAATGTAATCTTTTTAAATTTGTTTCATTCCTGACCAAGAGCATTAACAACTTGCAACCAAATCCCCTTAAATGATGACAAACATCTAGTACTCAACAAACCCACCCACCCCATTTTTGGGGGGAATTGGCCATAGTTCTCTTAAAATTACTTCCTGCTATCTGGGGTGATGTTCTGTTTGGAGGCCCTAAGAAAACTGGGATATAGGTCAAGTCTTGAGAAAGCTAGCTCTAACATTTGTTGTCTAGTCTCTGTGTGACAGGAAACTTCAGGACTTAACTGAAGTCCTGGCTGGGACAGTCTTTGAGGCTGGATCATCTTAGCTAGCCATTTTTAAGTTGTCCTGGATGCAGATTTTTGAGGAGACAGCTATAGAGGCAGTGTGTGACACTGGATTATGTGGGCTACTTGTCTTCTTTGGTATTTGGACCTTTTACTCAATAAACATATAAACTTTTAAAAGTAATATATATTTCTGCATTAACACAAATTAGCTAAAGATGATTCTTTGCTTGTAAGTTTGGATTGTATAACCAAACTGTAATATATAAATTTCCATTATGCCATATGAAAGGATGACATAAAAGTCCTGAGGATTCTGATCTTATTGGCTATGCAGAGATATGTTCTCATGTCTCAGCTGGTCTCAGAGCTGTTCCCATAAAGAGGATCAGCAATTTATGTTACCTGTTTTATTTATTTGTTTTTCTTTCTTTCTGCAGCTGAGCTCTTCAGGAGATCTCCCCTGGTCAAATCTAATTTTATTATTTTGAAAAAATCCATAGATTTTCTTCTCCTGTTGAAACAAAGGCAAAACCTCTTCTCCAATGCAACACATTTCCTGACTTCCATTCTGAAGTTAGCATTTAAAAAATTTAAAGTTAATACACATTATTTGATGTTTCTCTGGAAAATCTCATATCCCCCTTTTGTTCTATGAGCATTTTCTTTAAAATCCTGCTAGATTTCTCTATAATTGCTTGTTCTGTAAGATTGTAAGATGTATCTGTAACATTTTCTGTGCCATGATATCTAAACTATGTTGTATTCTAATGGATACATATGTTGAAGCATCATCAGCTTCAGTCTGTAAAGGCATCACATCTACTAACTGTGTAATCTCAGAATCAGCCTTTCCAGACTCAGGGAAAACTGACATCTTGAGTGAGTGTCAATTTTATGATGTGTTAGCATATGTACATATCTTAATTTTCCAAACTCTGCAAAATGAAACACATAATCTAGTATGACATTACTCAAGGATACCATCATTGAACAGAATCTGTATTCTTAATTCAGCATATAGAGTCTGATTATGTTGGCTTATAGCTGAAGCTCTTGTTTTAACCATATATGGCTTTAAGTTTTCTATTTGACATTCTGGTCCTATGCATTTAATCCATGTTAGACTTTGTTTCACCTGAGACAATGTCCCAGTTCCTAGGAGCTTTGTAGATATCCTTTGAAGTGGCCAAGTTGGATTCCAGGAATCTTGTGAAATTTTTGTTACATCTGCTGCTGTATCCACTAAGCCTTCAATCTCAAGTCCGTCAAACTATAGTTTTAACTTTGGTTTCTTATTCATAGCAGTTTGCCAAAATACTTGTTTTCTGGTCTCTCCTGAGTTTTCTGCTTTATCTTCTGAAGAAGCTGCTCTGACTTTGATGACTAATGCCTATATATAGAGCAGTGCTGTTTATTGTTCTGTGGATGAGTTTCTTTCCTGCCAACTTAAATTTATCTCCTAGGCCATTTCTCGACAAGGGGTCACCTTGCTTGCCCCTTGTTGATATATATTCATTAGTACATTGCCACCCTTTGCCACACCTTCTGCATACTACAGAAGACTGGGACACCTTCTGTTTGGATTATCTCTAGAAAACACATTGTTTCTAGGAGTGCCTTGCCTACAATTCCTTTTCAAATGACTTTGCTTGCAACAATTAAAACATTTGACAAGTTGGCTTTTCTTTAGAGACTACTTTTCCTATTAAAGTTGCATCCTTAAATTTTTTGAAATCTAGCATTTCTATGGAATGCCAACTAAATTCTTCATAACTTTGAGAGTGACCACCGGTTTGCTGGCACTTGTCATATAGTAACCAGATAAGTTAATGTTGATTTTCTAACAACCTTTGTCTGACTTTCTTTATTTTCATTATGTGGTGGCACAGTAGGCTCTGGTCTTAGTTCCTCTGTCTCTTACTATCTTTTTTATTTTTATTTATATTTTTTTCTAATTTTCCTTTTAAGGCTTGTCTCCACTTTTTATATTTCTTCTTTTCTTATAAAAGCCCTTTTCTTTCAGAAGGCCCCAAAAGTCCATTATGGTCATTCATGCTGGAATAAGAAATATCAATGTGGTAATAATCATAATCAGTAATGTGCCAATCTCAGTGAAGCCATGTGTTTCTTTCTTCTGCGTCTATTTTCAAGTCATCTAATGTGGTGTTCTATAGGAACCAAAAGCTCTGTTACTGGTTTTTTTTTTTTTCCTTTTACATATGTGTTTTATTCCTTTTAATTTTATTAAACTCAAATTATATCTGATTTTTTAAATAACCAGTCTCTTTATCATTTAAGCATAATTTCAAACATTATTTCCTTATCAGAGGTTTGGCTGTGTTCAGATTTCTTCTTTTCTGTTTGTGTCTGGCTTCTGTGTCTAGTGCTGCAGCTCACCTCTGGCCATCCACTCACAGGGAAGGGATGGTTCTGGTGTTCCACCAGAGAAACCATAGTTTCTATAGTTTGGGACTCATCCCTAGGCTGGTGTGCACTCTGCTGCCTGTTCTGGACCTTTGGGCCCTGCTGCTGTGCTGGGCTGAGCCAATCCCTCTGGCCTTTGCCCACTCTGGGAAGGTGGTGGCAGTGGCTACTTCTCACTGCCTCAGCCACTGGGAAGCCGCTGGTCACAAATGGGCTGTGGGTGCCTGCCATGTGTAGCTCATGGGTTCTATCACCTAACTCTGGCTGGAGCCACTATGTGCAGCAGTAGGTGCCCACAAGCTGTCATGCTCCTGCCATTTGCCTGGGCCCACATGTCACCCCGGGCTGTGCTGCTGCTTACCTTCCCATGAGAGCCAGGCTGGTGCTTGTGCCTAACCACCGTTCACAGGTCCTATTGTGCCAGTGTCCCCAGACCACAGCTGGTGGCCTGTGCCTCCTACCAGGGAGTTGGCTTGTCAGAGCAGCTGACTGATGAGGGGCCTTTTTTAATACTCAGTAAAACTTACAGTGTGAAGAGGTGGGTATTAATCACCACTGCTGTTTTTACTCTTCTTCAATCTATATTGTGTTTAAATGAAATTGTCTTTCCTGGGCTGGGCAATCCCAGCACTTAGGAGGCAGAGGCAGGCAGATCTCTGTGAGTTTGAGGCCAGCATGTGAGTTCCAGGACAGCTAGGGCTATATAGATAGACCCTGTCTCAAATAACAGCAACAACAAAGAAATAGTCTTTTCTGACTATTAGATTTGTGCAAAATACCCTTAACTTTCTGATAAAATTTAAATGACCTAATTATGTCATACTGAGTTTTTAAGGATGAAGTATAAGTTAATCTTTGAATTACATACCTAGAGCTTTTCTCTGATCTCTTCCTGTATACTTTCTAAAATAGGATGCCCAGGAGCACTCAGGTTCCCTTGAGGAATTGTGTTGCTCAGTTGAATTTCATACTACTCTTTTAATTATCATGACATATGGTTGTTGTTTTCACAGGATTCTGATGCAATTCTGGAAAGGTTCCCCACAATTGGTCAACTGTTGGCAAAAACTTGCTGGAATCCTCTCATCTTAGCATATGGTAAGAGTCGCAACACACAAACTCCTAATGGCAGTTTTTCTCTCTGTACCTTTAACAAAGCATAGGGATATAAATTCTAACTTTTTTATGTTTCCCTGGGGCAGTTCAGTAAGGTATATGCATCTGCCCATGCTTCTGTATGTTGCAGGCAAACACACACACGTCCACACAGGCTCATGCTTGTGGGCCCGTAGGAAAGAAAGCAAGGCTTCTTTCAGAGAAATACCTCATGATATAAACACCAGTGTTTGTCTATAGTCACTTTTATTACCTATTTTAAATTCTCTATAGTTAAACTCGATGCTAATGCTACCCAGTTAATTGTTTCATAGTTTCATGTTAACTGTTGACTGTATTATGAGTACATATCTTTTTGATGGAAAGAGTCATTTCGTCAGGCTGAGAAGCAAGGGTGAGAGGGTAGAGGAAGATGAAGGTGAAGGGTGAGTATGCCTTCCTCAGTGACACTGTTGTAGTGCACACACTGCCTTTCCTGTAGCCTGGGGCTGTGGCTTTCCTTGCCAGCAGACTTAGGCTAAGAACCAGAGCTTCTCATGCTCACCATGAACATCTATTCCTGTAACTAGAACCTCAAACAACCAGCTTAAAATAGTCTTCATCATCTCAGAAAATTGCTGTTTTATACTTTTAAACTGAGGATTAAAGTATAAAGAGTGTGTAGCCTTTATCTGGAATTTCAGTTCAAGATACCAAAAAGTGACCTATTTGGCAGCAGATGTATGTTGGCACATTTCTTTTTCCTTTTGCTCATTGTTAGAATTCAAATATGTGCCAAGATGAGATGGTGGGTCCTATTGGATCTTAAGAAGTTTCTTATATTGCTGAAGTGCCCTCCACCCTGTGGATGCCCAATTCCAACCTAGGGGCCTCTGGGGAGGAAGCTCCTGGCCATCCCTGTGTGGAGTGCTAATGACACTCAGGTAGCCAGCAGTGGCTTCCTTACATCTGTGAACCTTAGGTTCACATGGAACCTTACATCCTGTGCCTTTGATAGCAAAGCCATTGGAAGCTCTGTAAGCTATTGGAGGCTGAAAGGTGAACTCTGGGTGACTTTGAGGATGCTGCAGGGCTGGGTATGTCTACCTCCCCTCACTCCCATTACAGGGTCTGCATTGCTGTGTCTAGCCTACATGCTAACAGCTTCAATTTATAACTTAATTGTGCTGTGAGTCTCTATCTGCAACAGATCTGACCATTAGAAACAGAGACAGATAGTAATTGGTTTGCCATAAAAAGATTGAAATTACTGATGTTTGAAATGTGAAATTAGAAACATCTTGAAGAGGCCAACACTTTTAGCTCTTTCCATCACTCTTGTTTGGCTTTAAAAACTGCTGCCGTTTCAGAAAAAGAGTTGACCACACAAGAGCTGGACAGTGAGCCGAACCCACAAATAGGAAAGCCTCGGTCCAGCCTGTTGTTTGAGGTTTCCTTACTATGTTGTTTAAGTTTTTTTATCATTTGATAAAGTCTGCTCATTTTAGTTTTATTTTCTGCAGATGAAAGCCAAAAAATTCTAATATGGTGCTTATGTTGTCTGATGAACAAAGTACCACGGATCCCTGGAGAGTCAGAACTTAACTCATGGATCCGGGTAAGAGAGTAAAGTTTCATCTGCCTTGCTCTGACTTAAGTTGATGATTTAAAGCACTGTTCCCCCCAACGCACGCACCTTTTTCCCCTTTATTGGCTCAGTTTTGTGATATTTTAAGGCAGTGGTTTTCAACCTGTAGGTCACAACCCTTTGAACACGGGATCACATATCAGATATCCTACGAATCAGATATTTATATTATGATTCATAAGAGTAGCAAAATTACAGTTATGAAGTGGTAGTGAAGTAATTTTATGGTTGGGGTCAGCATAACATGAACTGTATGAAAGGGTCACAGCATTAAGAAGGTTGAGAAATGGCTTAACGTGTTGTCTTTTACTGTTAGGTTTTTGCTGAGCATTGAGCTATCCAGAAGATTTCAGGTTTGCTTAGTTATAAATTCCTGCAATACTGCTCCTTATGATGAACCTCCCATTGCTGACACCACCACATGCTGAGTGGTTTTAAAAAATACTTGGTAATGATTAAAAGAATGTACTGCGTTTTCTTCCAGCTGTTGCTGGAAGCACTGTTCTCCCTGCCAGCATAGTTTAAATCCTTACATAATTTTTCTCTGAGACTGGCTCTACTTCTCAGAGTCTCTTTTGTAGTAAGCATGAGTTTAGAAGTACATATAGAGGGGCTGGAGAGATGACTCAGCGGTTAAGAGCACTGGCTACTACCATAAAGGAACCAGGTTAAATTCCCAGCACCCACATGGTAGTTCACAATTGTCTGTAACTCCAGTTCTAGGGCACCCATGGCACCAAGCATGCATGAGGTTCACATATGTATGCAAAATTTCCATAGACATAAAATAAAAATAAAAAACCAAGTACCCACGGAGCCAGCCCTGCTTTTGCACCCCGAAGTTGATGCCTAGGCCACTGCTGCTCATGCTGTCATTAATCATGGCAGCTACCCAGAAACCTGATGGTTTTTGGTTTCTTCCCATGTTTGTTTCTTCTGGAATGGCATATACAATCTGGTCAGCTATTTGGCTGCTTTCTGTTGCTTCCACTTGGTGCCAGAGCCTGTGAACTTGATGATGCAATACCACCAAAGTCAATAGTTGTTCATGTGGTTCCCATCAGCCATTGAGGGCTATGAAATCACCCAGGTGGATTGGCCTATTGATGGCTACTGATGCATCACCTGTACTCCTTTTCATGTGTCCTTTATTTCAGACAAAATTGGTAGCAGTGATGAGAAAATACAGTACTGTACTGTAGATTGGAACAGAAGTTACACAAGGAGTTAAAAGGATTAGAAAAGAGAAGGAATGAGTACAAAATTTAGTTTGGAGGAAAATTCATTTAGGGGGCTGAAGAAAGGAACTGATAAATGGAGTTAGAGGGGGAAAGCTATAGAAATAGAATACTACTTCGTCTTTAATAGAATAATGTGTTGTCTTTTTGGATTGTAATGTTTTATAGAATATTTGCTACTTTAAGAACAATTACTTAGTGTGCAGGTTTGCATTGGCTAGTTCATTAAGTTGTAAAGAAGCCCGTCTAATAAAGTATTTCTAGGGTGGTTGAATTAAGTTTGTACGCTTTACATATGGCTTTATTAGCCTATTTAAAAATTTCTAGCCCTATATTTTATTTTGTGGTGTTTTCATTCCTTAATGCCTGGGTAAGTGAGTACTGAGACATACTTAAATTAACACTAATGCAGGAAGGTAAAATTCAAACAGTTTCTTCCACTAGGGACCTGAGACTGGTGACCACGCCACTGTAGAGTAGACATGGGTTGTCAGTAGAGCATTGTTGGTAGGTATGATGGTGGACCAAAGGGGGATACTTCCTTAGACTTGGAGGGTGGAGACATTTCCTGAGGAAGGTGGCTATGAGTGCAGGGAATATCTAGGAGTGTCAACATAGAGAATGTACAAAACATGGCGGGAGAGAGCAGACCCAGGAAGCTGCTGGTGCTTGCAGATATCTGCAGTTTGGCGTTCTTAGAGTGTGCTAACCATGAAGTTGGAAGAACAAGCAAACACCAGCTGTTAAATGATTTCTTCCTTTCTTCCTTTTTTCCTTCCTTCCTTCCCTCCTTCCTTCCTTCTTTGAATTAAAGGCAGTAGGAAACACTAGCATATTCAAACAGAAATCACAGGATGGGTGTTACTTTCAGAAACTTAACAGTGAGAGAAAGTTGATGTGGAAAACGGAAGGCAGCACTTGTGACCAAGGGGAGAAATTAAGAGTCCTGATCAAAATCAAGATGATAGGAAGCTATATTAGATTTTGTCAAATATGGTGAATATGCAGATTAAGTATAGGTGTGTTTGGGGTTGTCAAGGCACACATAGAGTAAGTGAACATCAGGAGGGCAAGCTGATTAATGGAGAGGAGTTGAGAGTGAGTAGTGACTGGGAGCACATTAGTGGAAATGATTTCAGCAAGACCACCCTGAGAGCAGGGGAGTCCTCATAGGTTTTGGGCATTAAAGAGAGAGTGGAAGGAAATTTGGTTTCAGGATTAGAGAGAGAAAGGCCTCAGCACTGACAAAGGGTTCTTCCTGGTAGTGTGGGTTCTTCCTGGTAGTGCTCTATGCTGCACTGCAGTGAGAGACATGTGTACTGCCTGTAAAATGGTAGCATTTACAGGACTGCTGAAGAACTCTGTATAAACTAGGTGACATTAACTTGAAAGTTATTACTGATCCAGAAGCCAATCATTTCAACAGTTAGTATAAAATTACTGGGATTATTTCTCATTGTTTTATAATGTATTTTGAACACTTACATTTACATATTTTATTATAATTCAGACACTAAATTTTAGTTAGAAGTTTATCTGTCTTTGTTTATAGTTTTTAAAATTCACAATATGAAAAAGTAAGTTCATATATTCAAATTATTTAAAAAGACTTACCACTATCGAGTAACAGTTTAAAAAATTATTAAAATTAATGGAGTTGAATGTCCTGTGCTTGACTGTCCTGTTGCATTGCCATGCTCAGCAGCTGGATTGTCTGCAGGCTCGGTGCTAGTCAGCTGAAGACCTTTGAGTGGAAGGATGGGAGGCCCTGCCTGCATATGCCTATAAAGGAAAAACCTTTCTGCAACCAGGCTTTATAAGAGATGGGAAACAGCTAATCCCTATGGACTGTGAAATGATGGGAAGTCATGAGATAAGAAAAATACTAGTCACTCTTTCAAGAAACCTAGTGCCAAAGAAAGGAGGAAGGGGTGGCAGTCTCAGAGCTGCTCAGTGGGAATGAGAAGGTCTTGAGGGCACTTCAGACTGTTATTAGGTAGTGCTGAAGGTATCAGAGACCTGGACAAGTCTTCTCTTCTCTTGTACAAGGCAAGCCTGTTTTGATGTAGAAATGTGAATAGACTGAAATGATTCTTAGGAATAATACTATTGGCTGAAGTCTGAGCAATCTGAAGCTATAGAATGTACCTGTCAGTACTTACTTGATCTCATAAATGCAACATGATAGAACGGAGCCAGTTACTGGTTTTTAAATCACTAATACATTGAAACTGTTTTACTTTTTCTTAGAGGTGGTAGGCTTATTTTTTTTGTGCCTGTGTATGTGCATGTTCCTAAGGTATAAACGCATGTGGAGGTCAGAGGTCAATCCTAGGTGTTGGTCCTTTAAGGGCTGCCCACCTTGTTTGTTGAGGCAGTGTCTCTCAGTGGCCTGGCACTTGGAATCTGTTCATGTCCATCTTTGCAGAATCTTTTCCACCTTGCTCAGCCTTGTTAGCTAGATTCTGGTGAAACTCAGTTCTTATGTTGTTGGTGTACTTTTTAACAAAACTTTTATTTACATTTCTTACCTTTTTCTCCCTACTCCACCCCAATCCCTTCCTCAACACCAGGTAGGAGAGAGAAAGGGTTAGTGGGAGAGGGGGCACAGTTCTTAGCTGCTTCCTGCTAGTCAGGATCATCAGGTTCCTTGGAGCCAGCCCAATCCTCATTTAAGGAGATCTCCAACTTCTTATCTCACAACAGCAACCAGGAGCAGCAAGGGGAAGCAAAATCAGCATTGTTCTTTCTCTGAGCTCCACACTGTGCTCTGCTATTTATTCTCTCCAGATTTAAACTATCTGCAGCTGGCAAAGATCGCCTCTCAGAGCTCGCACGAAGCAAATAGTCTACTGCTATGGACAATCTGAATCACTTCCAAATCCTATATCTGGGACCAAAACAAAAACATGTTTATATCCACAACAAGCAGCTTTAGCAAAATAGCTGGGCAGGTACCATTTAAACTAATTTTCCAAGGTAGTCTGGCTACTACTACTAAGCTGTCTGGCTGCTTCCCAACTGCATTCCCCATGTTACTTGCCAATAAGTCATCTTGTCTGGGCTGGATCTGCTCCATTAGGCTACATTTTCTTCACCATCTTTTTCCTTCTACCTTCTCTCTTCTCTCGACCTTCAAGTACCTACCAGAGATCCCCAGCCTGGAAACCAAAGCTCTTCCTACCTCTCTTCTGCCCAGATACAGGCTCCAGCCTTTCTTTATTAGCCAGTCAGTGATAATAAGGGAGCAAAATTTACACAATATTATTTGGTATATGTGAGAATGTACTTGTCTGGACAGCAACCTGATCTTGGAGGCCAGTATTTAGCATTTGAATACACAGCAGCACCAGACCAACCCCCAACAGTATTCTAGAGCATTACAAGTGGCATTAAAACTTCTAAACTCAGTGACAGAAGATAGCAGAGGCTCTCATCACGTGTCTTTGTGTTTTCTGCAGACAGAACATAAACTTCAGGTGTGTAGCTGTATAGTACAGCCGCATGGGGAAGTGCTGATGTGCAAGGTAGTGCAACAGTGGCCAGGGGAAACCAGAAGGACCCTACTTTAGGATTTCAGGGAAAATGGATTCCTTACACTAAGTACTTGCTGCAGTGGGGCATGTCTCCTGAGGGGCTCCGGCTGGAAAGAGAGCTCCCTTCTCTGGCAGAGAGTCCAACACCATCAAACTGGAGTCACACTGCAGCTGGTGCTGAAATGAAGCTCTCTGC